GAAGTGATCTGTCACTCACGCGGCGGTGTGCGCATCAACTTCACTCATTATAAATAATAATTAAAAATGCTCCTTGTCGGATAGTCCAGGGTCGGCCTACACTTCCTGTGAATGCTTCGTGTTCGCTATCTGCTGCCACCGGATTATGTACTTTGTTATGAAATGACGAGTGATGGACTTGATAAGGTCTTCCATGCAAATGTCTGTGATGTAAAGATAGGTGCTTCTCGGGATACGGAAAACAAAATAAAAAGGTCTGTCATTAGCTATGGTATGAAGGCATTGATATCTCCCGCGTCAGTATGCGAAAGATGCTTCGTTATGATGAAAAAACTGTAGTCATATCCACGTGGATGTTTTGATTTAATCAGACGTATTGGAGGATATCCAACATGCTTTCTAGAAATTCTTAACTAACCATTTTTTCTTGTCAACTTTTAACTTTTTAACTTTTCACAAAAAAGGGTACAAAATGATAAAACAGCAAACACAGATCAAAAACAAATTAACAAAGGCTGTAAAAAAAGGATGAATATGTCTGAATCTTTTTTGTTCTTACAATACACGTGAGAAACCAAAAAATCCCTAAGACGACTCCTGAATGGTGGGAAATGATATAATGATAGGGATATATGCAGATAATTTTTATGCTATGCATTATTCCTAAGGTCAATATCACTGTTAGTGCGTTATGCAAATACCAGTAACAGTCATTTCAATGAGATATCCGCGGTTTCTGGGATGAAAATTGTCCCATAATATACTAAGTGACATATAAATCCGAACACCCAGTTTAAATGGTTTTATTTTAATAAAAGTTGGTGAATGTATTTATCTTACTGTAAATAACAAGTGAACAAATTTTCAGCCTTATCAGTTGGACATTCCGGTTTTTATACTGCTTTTTTTTTAATTCACTAACGCTCTAAAAATGAATATTTCAGCCGCAGTAAAGAATCAACGTTGGCGGATTTTGGTTCTTGACATCCTTTACGATCGGTTACGATGCCTAGAGTACGGAGACCTGTACGATTTCGTCAACTTAGTGAGTTTGATAGGGGCCGTATAATGGGACTTCGGGAAGCTGGACTTTCTTTTCGGGCAATTGCAGTTAGAGTGCAAAGAAGTGTAGACACTGTGGTTAGGTGTTGTCAGGCATGGCTTCGAGAAGGCCGTACGCAAAGAGTAAGGGGCACTGGCCGCCGCCGTAGAACAACAGACCGTGAAGATCGCCGCCTAAGATTATTGGCCTTATGGGACCGTTTCTCCACTACCAGGTCCATTGCAAATGAATGGTTTGCAGAACACGGAAGACCTATTGGCATGCGAAGTGTTTACCGACGAATGAGAAGTTTTGGCTTGTTTTCATACCGGCCACACTGCGTCCTCCCTTTAACTCGAGAACACCGACGTAATAGCCTTGAGTGGTGCAGACAACGGTCACTCTGGGATCAGGAATGGAACAGTATTGTCTTTAGTGACGAGTCTCGATTTTGTTTAGGCATGCACGATGGTCGTGCCAGGGTTAGAAGGCGACGTGGTGAAAGGAGGAATCCACAGTTTTTTGTTGAAAGACATGTTTATCCCACTGTTGGAGTTATGGTTTGGGGTGCTATAGCTTATGGTTCCAGGTTACCTTTAATCTTCATCAGAGGTAACATGAACGCGCAGCGTTATATCCACGAAGTTCTAGAACCCCATCTTTTACCCTATCTTGACACCCTGGCAGATCCAACTTTCCAACAAGATATGCCCGACGACATATTGCAAGAGTCACAATAGACTTCTTTCAACATAATGATGTCACATTGTTACCATGGCCACCAAGATCTCCCGACTTATCCCCAATTGAGCACGTGTGGGATATGATGGGTAGGAGATTGCTCAATTTGTAACGTCCTCCTCAGACTCTAGAAGCACTTCGAGAGGAGTTGGTGGTTGCCTAGAATGAGATACCACAGGAGGACATTGACCACCTGATCAGAAGCATGCCTAGGCGCGTTGGAGAATGCGTAGCACATCAGGGTGCATCCACACATTATTAAAGGTGAAAGGGTTTTAAAGCAGTGCAATCATTTTGAAATTTTTATCATTTACTTATTATGCTTCATTAAGTACTTATACAAAATTTTATTAAAATAAAACCATTTAAACTGGGTGTTCGGATTTATATGTCACTTAGTATATATCAAATTCGTTATTTTCCATGTTCCCTAATGGTCCTGCTAATATTCCGTAGTTTGATTCTTGGGCCCATTTTATGGAAGACAGTTCATATTAGGATGTCTATTAAACGTGTCATTGCAGTTTTAAAAGTTCCGTAATATTAGTGAAAAATGTAGAATTGGCACAATGAAATTAATATTGTCAGTGAAGACAAAGGATCAGAGGAAGGAATTACACAAAATCTGTTGTACAGCAAAAAAACATTCCCAAATTCTAATTCTGAATTGAGAAAATCTCCTCAAAATGTCTTCGCATAATGACAGAATGCATAGAAAGTTTCAATATATCACGATAGTTTAGCTTTTCTTCAATAGAGGAACAAGCATTATAAAAAAAATAGTGAGAGTAGTTTATGGAGTTGCTGTCTCTCTCATCTCCTGTTAATCTAATAAATATTTTTATCGATTAGAGTGATCACAAAATGTTCTCGGCTTTTTCTCGTCAAACTGTGTCTGTTCAAAAGTCTTTGACTCGCAATGCAGGAAAAATGATATCGGTACGAACCCATGTTCTTATGAACCTCAATAAAATGACCTAAGAAACGCACCTTTCATTCGCACATAATTATAAAGGAACATCAAATTTCAGTTCTATTCTGCAAAAGAGTAGTATGAGATGCTCATAATAAATGCAACATATCAAATGGTGTCTGGTTTAATGCCCGTAGTTGCATTAGATATAAATCTTCTAGGACCCATAAGTCATTATTTCACCATACATGTTTTGACTACAGTCCATTTCTGTTCGTGCACTTTACCACTATAAGCAGCTGCTTTAGGTGAAATATATTTCGCGTTTGATGAATAGCCACCATTTCCTTATCTGGGAATCTTAATTCGTAATTTACCGAATGATGTATCGCTTAAAAAATACCATAATATGGTTTTAGCCTAATGATAGATTAACATATAGCGATTATAGTTATATATATATTAATTTTTCGTCACGTTTCTTCACTCGCCGTGTGATTGAAGATCAACTACAAGCATCCACATATCTGCATGTTGTATAGAGTGTCGAGAGATAGGTGAGCAATAGCTTTGATTTATGTAGAATACAAAAGTGTGACATTGAAAATCTCTTCGGAGATGCATGGCTCTAGATACCACCAAAAAATGTGTTCTCGTAAATAACTTCTGAACTACAGTGTAACAATCAAGCGACATTTTTACAGCATCGTAACCAATAGGAAGGAGCTTTAATGATGATGCCGATTCTCAAAAAGTTTTTCAAGTCTAGAATTCGATCAAGCGGTCTGCAAATTCACTCCAGGGTGTTTTTTGGGTGCTGATCACAAATCTGTTATCTGATTTTCGCAAAATGATGGAACTGTAGAATTATCAAAAGCAGCACTGCAACAATACTGTTTTTCTCCTGTACAGCTTATTTTATCAACATCTCGAGAAATGTGATTGTTGTTGGGTCATTAATATACAGGGTGTAAAAAGTAACAGTTTTGCGTTATGGATAGCTCAAACAAGTTATTGAGTTATGAATTATATGATAATGCAAAGAAGTTATGCGCACGAACCCATTATCCAATAGTTTGTTGTATTACTTTTCAGTGTACTATATCATGAATCAGAGAGATCGGCTACATATTTTGTGATACCCGGTATAAGATCCATATACATGATATAATTGGTCATCATAGAAATTATGCGAAAATTAATCTAAACCGGTAACAGCACATTAAATAAATAACAATAATAATAATGTCTATTTGGGCGAGGCTTAGCTAACACGACTCTTCCACACTTAACCCAGACATGTACGGGGTTTCCGGCTATAAATTGATATATCTCTATTTTTGTTACATGATCTTCTGTAAGAAAAAGTTGCATGATAAAGTTATAGGGTCTAATATGTAATATTTTTTGTACACCGGGTGTCCGAGAAAAGTGCTATCGAATAAAGTTGTATTTTTCCAAATGAAACATCCTGTATATTTTCATCGACAGTGGTAGTCATTTTTTTTCTAGTTCCAAATATAATTATATAATTTGTTAAACATCTTGGTATTATTTTAGTCAAAAACTTGAGGTTTGTGCGTCATTTAATCATATCAAACTAATGAATATAAGTATGATAAACTACGAGTGTATATATATTCTGAATCAGAAAAAAGAAACTATCATTTTTCCTGTAAATATACAGAGTGAACCGTTTAAAATATCGAACCTTATTCGATATCACTTTTCCGAAACGATGAAGTAGTCGGAAGAAAGATATAACAGATAAAAAAAATTAGGCAATTTTAGATATAAATACAATGTTAGTTAGAGCGCAGTACGGTAAAATATTTATATAAAAATAGATACTTGTAGAAGGCAGTTATATTTCAGATAGCGGCAAGGAATGAGATAGGGAAGTGCTCTTAAAAAAAAATTGATATAGCAAGTAGCTACAGTTTATAAAAGTTGGACTAAATGTAACTTACAAAGTCGTTGAGTTCGTAGCTACAACGATGTGTTAAGGGATCTCAATATTGAGATCTCTTACATCACCACTGTACCTACGAACTCAATGACTCTGTAAGTTATATGTAGTCCAACTTTTATTAACTGTAGCTACTTAGTATAATTTGTAGTTCCTGATTATGGTTGCATAGTTGTCCGAAAGCTTGAGACAGAAGTTAAAAGAGCATTCCCATAGCTTATTACTTACCGCTGTCCAAAGATAGTCTTCTAACTAGTTGTTGATCTGCAATGACTAACTACCCTCAACTCATAAAAAAATAAATATACTAAATTATTATGCCAGAGCAAGAATATAACTGTGTTTGTAGAAGACTTATTCGATAATGTTTTTTAAAGTTATTCACTGCGTTGCTAAATTTAGAGGCCTAACAATTTTTTTTTGTTCCAGGTGAAGATCTGGTTCCAGAACCGGCGTAGCAAATATAAGAAAATGCTGAAGGCCGTACAGACACCTGGAGGAGGCAATGCTGGCGGTGGAGAGGGCGGTACAAATGGAGGGGCCGGTGGCAACCCCCACGGAGGCTTATCTGGAGCTGGGGGAGCAGCGCTGCCGGCGGCGAGCCCCGGACCACAGGGCCAGATGATGCAAGGTACGATCAAGATGGAAGGTAAATCATCACTGCTTTTGGTTTATGATTACTATCTGTTCTGTGTATATATGGGCGTGGGTGTATTACTTCGTAAGTCCCATAATTTGAGTTTTCCAGGACAATATGAACTATGCCACTGATAATTAAACCAGTTTTAAAGTACTTTTTTCTGCTTGTATTTGTGTTTTAAAACATCGAAATTTCAAATAACTTTCACAGTTTCTTAATAGTACTGATAGGAAAGGTCCGAAAAACGGTTATAGACGTTTTTTTAGCAGAATATAGGGTTAGTGGTAGGTATACCACTTAAGCAAAATAATGATATTAATAACCTGTTTCATTGCTTGTTATTGTAAATTATATTTAAATATTGAATTATCAAGATGGCACATGTTTTATCTGTGCGTGTATACAGGGTTAAACGTCATGGTAGTCATTATTGAAATGAGTAACAGGGGCAGTCAAAACAAGTCAAAATGTTGATATGACCCATGGTCCAAAAGTCAATAGATTTTTGTTTAAATGGCTTTATAGTTTACAACTTTAAGTGCTTTATATCGACCACAATCACCACAATCTTACTAATTTTTATAATCTAATCTAAAACGTTTTTAAATTATGTAATTAACAAATAAATTGCATTACGTTTTTCTAAGTTAAGCCAAAATTTGTAGTCAGTAAGTAAGTTTCATTAAATTGAATATTTAAAGCACACATGACAGCAGCGCGTCGGTCATCATCACTCTTATCAAATCGGTAATCGATCGCGAACGGTAACAGTGGTTAGTTATCGGGCGTCGGTCGTGTTGTTTACAATATTCTCGAATCAAGAGTTCGCCGACATGTTGTTAGTTTACGGTGAAGCTCGTCAGAATTTAAATCTTGCAGCTGAAATTTATCGCGACAGATTTCGCCAACCCAAACAGCAGGACATTTGTGCAAGTGTACCATAGGGTTCGAGATACAGGAAGTGTTCAGCCCACTAATATTCGCACTCGTGAAAGACAGGTTACTGTAGCAGGAGGAACAAATTTTAAATATCGTGGAAATCAATGCAGATATCAGCACTCGGGAATTAGGACGCCGCGTAGGACTAGCGCATACCATATTCCATAGAATCCTACGGGAAAATTTGCTTTATCCCTACCATGTATATGTACAATGAGTGCAGGCCTTGTTACCAGAAGACTATCCTCGCACACTAACATTCTGTCAGTGGTTTTTGCAAAAAACATTTAAAATCCGGATTATTTTAAAAACATTCTAGCGACGGACGAATGTACTTTTACGCGAGATGGGATAATAAATTTCCATAATACTCACACGTAGGACCAAGAAAATCCTCATACCATTCGTGAAGGTAATTTCCAACAACGTTTTAAAATAAATATTTGGGCGGGTATTCTTGACGATCAGGTAATTGGCCCTTTCAAGTTACCCCCAAAGTTGTCAGGAGAAGGATACCTTAGCTTTCTAGCTAATAACCTACCAGAACTTCGGGAACAGACCTTAGTCAACATGCCAATACAATGGAGACAGAATTTGTGGTTTCTTCATGATCGGGCACCACCACACATTTTTAGAGGCGTAATTCAGTATTTGAATGAACATTATACAAATCGCTGGTTCGGTCGAAATGCTCATAATCCTCGAAAATGGCCAGCAAGATCTCCTGACCTCAATCCGATGGATTTCTGGTATTGAGGAGAACTTAAACGGATGGTCCAATAATAACTGAAGCACAACTTCGCGAAAAATTTTTGAATGCGGCTAAAATAATGAATGGACAACTTCGAGGAACTAGAGTAAGAAGAAACTGGGTTCGTCGTAATCAAGCTTGTGTGGAAAGTGGAGGACGACATTTTGAACACCTACTGTAAATACAAAAAAAGTGCAGTGTGGGTTTTAAAAAGAAAAACAATGTATGTATCAAAATTGTGTTCCCTATTTATAAGGCCGTTTTTTTTAATTGTTTGCATTTTACGAGTACATTATCAAATAATGAAATAATATCTAAGGGCCAAAAATAACAAACTCCATCTTTCTTTACACTGCGTTCCGTCGTAATTTGCGTCTGGCATTGCGGCGTTGTCAGATTTTATTTTACTTTAAAGTCGCTTTTCTCAAAAAAATGCCGTTTTGACCCCCATGTTATATGAAACTTTTTGCTTCTTTTAACCCCCATTCAAATAATGACTATCATAACGTTGACTCTGTATTTTTAAGGTACATACTTAGGGGAAACCAGGGCAAAGCGAACACCTTAGAAAGTCGATTCCTATTCTACATGTAAACGATGAATCCACCATCGTGAAAAAAATACATGACCTATTCGTTCAACCTACGCCAATAATCGACAATCGGTTGTAGAAAAGCGCACATGCTTATTTGACCTCCAGGCATCAAAAAGTATTTTTTTCAACATACAAGTTGACATTGCAAGATACGTGATCTTTATACTATCTTACGAATAGCTATTTAAAATATTTAGCGTACATTTAGAGGACCTTCTCAATCACCCAGTTGAGACAGATTGAGTCAATGCCTTGGTAGGTAACAAGAAAACTCTGAAGATTGCATGTCCGTTTTTTTTCTACTGCCTATTTGGAGCAGTATTACAAATCGTTTCCATCTGACTATTTCATGGTGTGTATAGAGATGAAAAAAATTGTTATATTTTTTTTTGTAAAATATGCATTTTCTGTGCATTTTATTCTATATTTTTCCTCAATCGTAACTGGTTAACAAATATGATTACAGGTCTGAAATTGTATGTCAAACTTCCACTTTTATAGTAGAATTGAACAGCTGATTACTTTTATTTTTATCACTTTTTCTCTTTGAAGAATCTTTGATTTTTATAACCACGTTTTACGGCAAATTACGGTTTCCAAGAGAAGCAAACATTTTTTGAAGAAGGAAAGTGATAAGAAAAAGCAATCACCGGATCAATTCTTCCATAAAAGTGGAATATTTACATACAATTTTAGAGCTGTTCTATTATTTGTCAAGAAGTTACGATTAAAGAAAACATGCACAAAAAAGAAACTGATAACATTATTTTACAGTCATCTCCTCCAGACAGCCTGTTGAAAAAAGGGAAATGCGATGTTAAAAAAGTGATTTCGGGCTTATTTCGGGTTAGTTTAAAATTGGTATTTTCGTACATACAGGTAACACATAAATATGAAAATAAAACAATACAAGAATACTGGTATTGTTTTTGAAATCACCCATTCTCGAGTACCCGCGTGTAAAGTCCCGGACTTACGATGTTTTTGTACTGAATCTGTGTTGTGCGGAATCTAGTGTCTTACGATGTGTTTAACCAGAATACACATCTTCCTTTAATGAAACAATTTCAGTAATAAAAGCATGTTGGTAAAAAAAATGGAATTAGGTGTTTTTTGCTCTGCCCGATTCAATTAAACATTATGGAAATGCAACCCTCCATATGTAACCTAATTTAGGTAAAACTGGTTCTTGCATTGCAGTCTTCATTCGCTTGATCATTGTCTTTATTCCTAAAGAAAGGTATTACATTTTATTTGTGCATCAAACATATAACATCATCGACATAGTTGGCATCAGTTCTTTAATTTATTTGTGCGTATCCTCAACCTAAAAGGTGTCCTTTAAGCCATTAGAAACGTGTTGAATTCTGAAGTGATTTCAAGGAAGAAGTTCGTTTAACATGGAACGTACAAACTCCGTGTGTTGGGATAGTTTTGGAATAATCCTACTTTGACTTCACATAATCAGTGCCGGTACACCTACCATTATCAGACATAAGTACTGATTCAAATTGTTATAAAAGTAGTTATGACATCTGTAGAAGTGCTTTTTTATTGACAATTTCATTCAAACTGTTAATATGACGTTAGAATGGGGTAACCTCATCTAATTCATGCAACATTTCACAACGTTCGCCCTATCAAAACTGTGATATTGCATTTATGCAACTTCAAAACTGGATATTCCTGCCGGGATAAAGAAATGGTACATATATAATCATACATCACATAAGGATATAGTAAGATCTTCACTCAGACACTTTTTACGTTTGGTGGTTGTCCGAAATCAAAGCTGTATGTGATTTACTCATTATAAGCTGTTCAGTTTTGAAAATCCTGCACTTGTATAGATAAAGAATGGAATGTTGTGGAGTCACTTTGATGTCACATTTGTGTTCGCATCCAAATAATACGAGTAGGTACATCGAATACCACACACTTGAACAAATTTGACTGAAATTACTTTTTCCCATTGTTTTGGGCTTGGACTTGGCACAATGTTCAGCACACCATCATCTAAAATCGTTAAAAATGGTGTCAAGTTGGTTGACTGCACCTCCCACGCAACGCCGTCTTCAGATCATAAAGGATTATGATCAGCACAAGTTAGACCCTCCGAGAAAAAAGCTAGTTACGTACCTGCACAATGGAGAAATGAAACGGATGAAGTCAGTCAAACAGTCCCATACAATCAATCCATAGGCTCTTTTTCCCTGCCCTACCGATAGTACCGTGGCAACATGGCCCCTCCCACAGACCGGCACGGCTATTATGTAAAAAACCTAAAAAAGTAAAAAAACACGAAATGTCACCTTGCAGACTAGGTAGTTTTTAGTGTGCAAATAATCTTTAAATAAAATATAGCCTCAGTTCCTTGCAAAAATATATTATTTTTCATTTTATACTCTCCCGTAGTCTTCCAACTGGTAGAACCTCTACCAAATCCCCCCACTCGCTCCTGACTACTGAAATATGATTTGGGGGATTTTTTAAAAAAGTTGCGAATCTAGGGGATTTTTGTGCTTGTTTTGGGGAAATTCTGTTTGTTCCATCTGGCAACCCTGGCGGCAGCGCGTCACAGCGGGAGGCATAGTCACCGACACACCCGTTCGTAAATCCAGAGAGCAGGATAGAAACGTAGAAATCTGTGATGTGACAAATTTGTCTAATAGGTGCTTAGAATTACCATGGTTCTGAGCGTATAAATATACTAAAAAATTGAGATATATGACTTACAACCCCCAATTTTTAACCCCTACAATTTTTTTCATGGTAATGACCATAAGCTTCTTAAGCGTTTAATACCGAAGTGTGAGTGGTTTTTAATTTTTTTTCGTTTTTTGCTAGCTGCGCCACCTCTGGACCGATTTTCAAATACTACAAAGTTTTTTCACCTTTTTCAGAGTAGTAACCTTGTGCGAAAATTTCACAAAAATCCAAGCGATAGCTCCCAAGTTATAGACAAGCAAAGGATTAGCGGACAGATAGACCGACAGACAGACTGATAAAAATGACTGATATGGTTTTTCGTGATGTATGTCATATACATTGTAACATCCAAGAAATATATCTCAGTTTTGAAATTTTCTCGATTTCAATACGTTCTGGCTAGTAGGTATGGAAACTAAAAGCAAATTTTGTGTGATATACTTTTATCAAAAGACACCCAAAAGATACTTTCCTAAATCTCTTCTCTTTTGTTCCAGTAGGCGGTGGATCATCAAGTGGTAGCCCCGCAACGGGAGGCGGTTACATGCAGCACTCCTCCCCCACCCCGTCGTCTACCCCCGGCTCGGATATGTCCGGAGGCGGCAACGGAGGCGGTCCCCATCAACAGGGGGCGGGCAGTCCGGTGGGCGGCAACCAGCACCAACTATGGGACATGAAGCCTTTGCAGCAATCGCTGCACGGGGGCGGCGGGGGCCCACACCAGCAACCGCCTTCGCATCCCCCACCGCATCCGCACCCGCATCCGCATCCGCCGCCCCCGCACAACTACCTGCCCCAGTACTCGTGGTATCCCACGGATAATCCAGGACTGCTGACGTTAGTAGAAATTCACAATTGAATCTATCTTTATTCAGATAAAATAGTGGATAGCTAGGATACAGATGCTACAAAGAATTTTTCAATTTGAAACCTTTGTTTCAGAAATATGTGCCAATATTTATAGGGTAGGAAGTACATCCAAAAATAACAAAAATAATTACTATACATGATGGAGTGTGATGAAGTTTTATTTACGAAAATGAATAAAAATATACGGAGCGGGCAAGGATACTGAGTTAAGGTTTTAGACTTTCAATGAGCACATCATAAGCAAGAAATAGACAGAGCTTTTCGGACCAAATCAAACCACGGACGTAGAAACTGAGGTGCCTGGACCTCTAGTAAAAGATATTTTCTACGCCACTGGCCTTATCGGACAAAGTAAGTGCGTTGTATAATATACCATTCAATTTTCCATTAATTTTGTCACCCAAAGATTTTTTGTCAGATCACTTTTTTTGGAGATATTTAGGTTTGAATATTTAAGGTAAAATCCTAAAATATTCTTACGAAAAGGTTTAGCCTCCCCTATTCTGAAATGACCGTGAAGGTCGATATTGCAAACACTATATGGCATATGAAGAAAGATATAGCACCTCATTACAATATTACTTGAATAATATGCGTGTCTTATCCTCAATCAGTAGCGTAGAAGCTTACCATTCATTAATCCTTGTTTATGATTGCCACTGGTTTTTATGGTATTGCCCATATTAGATTATTATGTTTGTCCAAAATCGCTAGTAATTGTGAAAACAATCAATATGGGTAAAATTCTTATTATTTAAACCTAAATACCTCCTAAACGAGTGATCTGACAAAAAATGCTCAAGAGACAAAGTATATCGAAGATTGACTGGTATTCTATAAAATGCACCTATTTTCTCCGAAAGGGCCCCCTATTAGGGGTCCCGGTACCCCAGTTACTACGTCCCTGGTTTAATTTGGGGTGCTTATTGCTGATGATGTGCTCACTGAACGTCTAAAATCCTAACTCTGTAGATACATTTTTTTAAATTACGTAAATAAAACTTCATCTTTGAACCCATATTTATAGGAACTTTTTTTGTTATTTTTGGAAGTACTTTCTACCCGAGAAATATTGGGACGTATTTCTGAAACACGGTGTATGAACAATGAAAAACGAAAATATACTAAGTGGCATATAAAATGCAACACCCATTGTTTATTGAATTTTGTTAAAAACTTTTAACGAATTTGCTATCATGGAAGTGTACGCTGATAAACACTGTTGAAGGTATTCCGAGCTGTACTTTTTTGTAGAGGCTTTTTTGCCATATCAGGATCGGAACAATATGAACATGTTTGTTTAATATTCAGTTATTTTTCTGTCTAGGTTCAGTTTGTTTCATTGTTGTTTCATTGCATTATCATGCCTAGAGTTCGCAGTCGCGCTAATTTCACTCAACTTTCTAGTTTGAGAGGGTTACGTGCAGCCGGATTTTCTTTTAGAGAACTCACGAATCAGGCGAATCGAAACAAAGCTACTGTAATGAGAAGTTTTCGAGCGTGGTTCCAAGAAGGCCAAAATCGACGAGTTAGAGGTACTGGACGTCAAAGACGGTCTACATAGCGACACGATCGTTATTTGAGGTAACCAGCACTTGGAGACCGATTTTCCACAACAACAGCAGTTGCGAACCAGTGGTTTGATGCTGTCGGAAAGGCAGTAACAATAAGGACAGCTTGTCACCGTAAAAGGTCTTTTGGACTGTTTTCATACCGTCCCCATCTTGTACTACCTCTGAACCCACAGCATCGTCGGCAACGATCGGTATGGAGTGGGGAGAGACTTAAATGGAATAGTGAATGGAACTCAGACATATTCAGCGATGAGTTCAGATTGTGTTTGGGCACACATGATGGCCTTGCAAGATGAACTTTTCCAGCACGACAATGCATGACCTGATGTGTCACCCGTTAGCTTAGACTTCTTGGCACCGTCCGGAGTAAATCTGCTTCAGTGGTTTCCTCGATCTCCAGACCTTTTCCCCATCGAACATGTATGGGACATGATGGGAAGACGGTTGCAAAATTCACCGCATCCTCCACAAACAGTGGAGGCTCTACGAAACCAATTTCAGATGGCCTGGGATATAATACACCAAGAAGACATTAACCATCTAATCCAATCAATGCCGCGACGACTTAACGAATGTGTAGTGAACTGAGGAGCTTCAACACATTATTAACATAAAGGTGTGATATCTCAGCTATTTTGCGAAATTTCGAGTTAACATTTTTTTGTTATCATTATGAGAAACTGCCCAGCTCTTTTATATATCTTCTTGAAGCACCCTTCTAATTTAATGGAGCCACTTTTGCTTATGCTCGTGAACACAGCAGTAAGTCCGTATGCTAGTACCAGGTAAATGTATGCTTCCGTTATTTTCGATTTCACTTCCATAGAAACATTCGAGCTAAAGCTAATGATTGGGAGTAAACTGCTCAATTAACCTTAAAGATTCTTTCTCTAATGAGACCATCCGTGCTTACTGTTTTATTAAGATTGAGCCCAAGGTATCGTATTTTACTTAAAAACGCCAAAAGTTCTCTCAAACTTGCAGACTCATTTTGAAAGTCTCTGACGACACTTTCACACAGAATAAGCTTTTCGAGTATCTCTTCTATTACAAGTGATCCACTATTCTTCATATTTTGTGGCTATGTGCCCTCTAAGCGCTTAGCTACTTATCGTGTAAACATGGGCAATAGTTAGTGCTAGCATTTCTCGCAGTTTGCTAAACCGAATTTGAGCCGTACGTTCATACAGCAAACATTTTCCAAATTTCCCACAAAGCTGAAAATTGGTAAACGCCTCAAATGTACCATTATAATGAAGTTATTCTTTCTGGATGTAACACTTATTATGTCACTGAGTGTATATCAAAACTCCTTATATATCTTAGGAGCGGAACCTAGTGTGATTTGGGTTGAAGCGTGAAAAATATCGCCTTTTGTCATATTTCTCTAAAAGAGAAAGATTTACTACAAAAATACCTTGTATGAATATAGAGGATACAATTATTTAGAAAAAAGTGTTCAATTACTTTTATTTCTCAAGTCACCGCTTATGACATTCAGTTATATGCCGTTTCTCAAGTACTCTTCTGCTGTGAAAGCATTGATATATGCGACTGATACTAAAATACGTACCGCTTATAGATGGAGTGTCAAAAAAGTGTCAGCGATTTTAAAAATATGCATTCCATGAGCGACCAAAGGTTATTATACAGGGTGTTCCTTAATGATATGCGAATATTTAAGGGTGTGAATCTACATGAAAAATTAATGTTAGTTTGCTTTATAAACTATGGTCCAAAAATGTTTCCTTACAGAAACTCTGTGTGTTGAAGTTTTAGGAAAAAATGGAAATTAATTAATATTTTCAGAACCGCTTCTGATATTTCACTGATAGTTAGTACGTAGTGAAAGTTAAAGTTGCATATTTATCAATGCAAAAATAATTTTTAGCCTTAACAGTGGCTTGCATACGGTATTGGAAAAAAATTGTACGCCAATGGTTTTTTGCCAAATAAAAATTATTTTTGAATTTCCCGTTTAATTCAAAACAAATGATCCCTCTTGAATTGTCTTCCTTCGATGCGCCATTTTTGAGTAAAAAAATAAAAACCGCTCTATTGTCCGAGAAAATTAATGTAATAATTGAAGAATGCAATTTAGCAATAAAGTTGCTAGTGGAATATGTCACTGGCTTTTGACATCTGACAAGTCTCTGGTATTCAAATCTGTTCTCATTCGACATCTTTTTCATTATTTAGTTTTTACAATCTTGTTAATAATGGTGAATTATTCAAATGCAGAAATGGCGGAAATACATTACGTATATGGCCTTGCCGACGGTAATGGTGAGCAAGCCAGACGGATTTATCACCAGAGATATCCCGATCGTGCTTTGCCAGATAGTCGAACCTTTCCCAATATTCATCGTCGTCTTGTTGAAATTGGTTCTGTCCGAAAAGGAGCATCTGATGGTAGACCTCAAGTGTGAGAACACCTGAAATTGAGGAACAAGTGCTGCACGAGGTCGAAGAACATCCTGAAACGAGTACGAGGAAGACCTTAAATATTTGCCATCAAACTGTTTGGAGAATTGTAGTGGATTTTTTGTTATATCCTTATCATATTTTACAGGCATTACTTCCCATTGACTTTTTTTTGTGATCTTTTGTCAGTGGTATCTTCAAAAAATTACACAAAATCCGCAAATGGAATCAATGATTCTGTTCACGGACGAAGCTAATTTTTATCGAAATGCCATTCAGAATTTCCACAATAATCATTTGTGGGCAGAAGAAAATCCCATTCTTCTTGCCGGGACGAGTTGACGGACAGACTTACTTCAATTTTCTTCAACAACAGTTGCGTTTGCTGCTTGGTGATGTTCCGTTAGTAATAAGAAACAATATGTGGTACATGCATGATGGTGCACCAGCGCATCTCAGTGTAGCGGTTCGTAATTATTTACAAACTGTTATCTAAATCGTTGGATTGGCCGCGGTGGGCCACCAAGGTCCCCAGACCTCAACAGTTTAGATTTATTTTTGTGGGGCTATCTTAAGACACTAGTGTACGCAAGTCCCATTATCACTGTAGAGGAATTAAGAGAAAGAATAGTTGCAGCTTGTGATAGAATAAAAAACACTCCTGGGGTATTTCAACGAGTGCCCAATTCCATGAGAAGGAGGGCGGAAGCATGCATTCTAAGTGAAGGGGGCCATTTTCAACAATTCTTGTAATCATTTCGTTCGTTTTAATATTATGTTTATGTTGTCAGTTGTTGTAGATTATTACCGTTTTTATTTTTTTACTCAAAAATGGAGCATCGAAGGAAGACAATTCAAGAGAGATCATTTGTCGTAAATTGAACGAGGAATTCAAAATAGTTTTTATTTGGCAAAAAGCCATTGGCGTACCATTGTTTTCTTGAAAAATATCGAAGTCAATATCCGTACGCACGCCACTGTTAAAGCTAAAAATTATTGTTGCATTGAAAAATATGCAACTTTATCAACTTTCACTACGTATCAGTGGAATATCTGGAGCGATTCTGAATATATTAATTAATTTCCATTTTTTTCCTAAAACCTCAACACTCCGCGAGTTTTTGTAAGGAAACATTTTTGGACCATAGTTTATAAAGTAAACTAACATTAATTTTTCATGTAGATTCGCACCCTTAAATATTCGCATATCATTAAGGAACACCCTTTATACAACAACTGAACGCAAAGAGCTTGAAAACTCAAAAAAGAAGTTAATAGTTTTTATTGATCTGTACCATTCTGGTTCGCTTAAGGTGCGATCAAAATGAATGAAAAGGAAGTCGTATTCTCGAAAAAAAAAATGTACTCACTAGAAAATTACTTCAGGCCTTCAGTTTGTTATTGTAATTAATAATTCAAGTCCCCATCGATCCTTGGAGCCAAAATTACCTTTTATGTATGTTTATCTGGAACGTTTATATGTTCTTTGACTTATAGGGCTTAAACTAGTGGCTCCTCTTCACAATCAGCGGTTACAAAGGATCGAGCACGTTCGTGTAGAGTGTAGAGGGCATACAACGGCTGTACTCGCCGATCATCCTATATGATCGACTTCGACCAGTGAATTGTCGGTTTTTTGGACACGCATCAAATGGAATCGCCGGGTCATATTGATGCGTGCCGTTTGTCAAACTACTACGGACGCTCTTGTGGACGCTTGCACGATGATCCTGCCAATTATGAACCATCACACGATCAACGATCATCGCCGATAGTGATGTGCAGGCATACTGCTAAGGCGAATGTTTTATCGTTCCCTGCATGTTTTATATAATGTATTTCTTTGGTATCTAATATCCGAAACTTATCCTTATTTTTCCATGTCGATAATCCCCCATGTGTATATGGCCAATGAAACCACATGTATTTGAAATTCTTGTTTAATATAGTAAGCGTTTCGATCACAACGGCGACTTTCTTGAGTAGAACAATAAAATATTATTAAAAGTGTCATGTACTGAAGAAGGTCACCATTGTGACCCAAACGTTTACTACATAAAAGAAGAATTTCAAATATAATCGTGTTGTCTCACTGGCCACACTAACATGGTAGAATATCTTTGGTATATTAGAGAAATATGACAAAATGTGGTATTTTTACATTTCTACCCAAATAAAACAAGACTCCGCTACTCGTATTTGAAGAGTTTTGATGCATTATTCGTAATGATTTCTGATTCGTGTGCCAATCTTCAGCCATGCTGGAATTTTTGCGAACCTAATTTTTATTTTGACTGGATTATTGTGAAAGGATTTACAAGCTGACATTTTTGCTTCGACGATTTTTTATAAATATTAATTTAACTAGTAATTTATATGTGACCATTTGCACTTTCTTTTTGCGAAAATCGCAAATGTAATTAAAATATGGCTATTAATTGCTATCCATTAGCGACGAATAGACGTGCGAATAGTCAAAATTGCCCTTGCTAATTGAAAGTATTAGACAAATTGAGTTTTCAATCAGTCGTGTAATTACTGGATTGGTAATGGTAATTGAAATTTTGAAACGGTTGCTGCATTTTTTATGGAAACAGTTTCAACGAATGGTAACCTGATTTAATTACACCATTAATAAGGGACTGCAAATAATTGGCCAACGTCTAATATGGCAATTAATGAAATGTATGGATGTATCGTTTTAACATGAAACCAGCTCCGCGACCTAATGCATTCGATGCTCAAGCTCTTGAAAGATTTGTTATTCATTTAACGTCTAGGGTCATATAATGACTGACTTTCGTTGCTGTCCAGCTTGTGGTATAACTTTCAACTCTGTCTGGCACACTAATGTTCCACTGTTCTTTAATTGCAAAAAAGGCTTTGAATCGCTTTTTCGCTTATGCCACTTTCAAAGTAGATTTCTAATTATTGCGGAAGAGAGAAATGACAAATTCTCATAGATGAGGCTATGGTATATTATTTCATCCAGTTTTACGTTATGCTACGAGTAACTTTTAACTCCCTGTTCCTGATTAAACGCACTGCTGGATAGAATGAAAATATCAACCCCTCATTCGTGATCTATCAACAATTTATTTATTGGTCATTCCTGTATGTTTTCAATAAATAATGTTTTCGCATCATCTTGCAATGATGATATTATGTATAAAGATATTGGATAATACCAATTTCACTGAAAACTCTACCAATTTAGGTGTATTTTCTGAACTTGTTATTAAATGTCATTCGGTATAATAATTACCTGCAAAGAAACCGTATTACTCGAAACAGTTTGCTTTTTCTCTTTCGTCAGTTACAACGTTACAATGTTTTTTAATTAAGCTCGATATAATTGCATCCAGGACCGACGAAAACACATCTGAGGAACGCGAGACGGCTTGTGACGTATTTTTGACGTTAATTACAAGCTTAGGTAACCTGTTGTAATGGAAACGATTCCTCCAGGGATCTTCGAGCGGTGTACTGCTCGGAGATTGCTGGAAAAGTAGGTATCAACATCTACAGCAATTATTTCTGCTTTCATATATGCAAACATCCGGTGGACCAGATAAATACTGTTCAACTTTGTAACCCACATCGTATGAATTTTGCTATAAAAACACGACTTGAGGCCTGTACTTCTTAGCACTTCTTTCACAGAGACCTCGATATCCCTTGCCTAAGGAACTATTTCAAGTAACAGGCACAGCGGCGCCATAGCCAAGCAGAATCGCGCAGCAACCCACTGTTGCGCGAGTCAGTGGACTACACAGTCGAGCAAGTTCGCAAGCACAAAAGGCCGCACCACTGTAATCAAAACTAATTTAAAACAAAAAAAATTACCGAATTTTCACCAAACCCTTACAAAAATCATATACGTATTTTCGGATCATATCAAAATTTGTCAAGTGATTTTAACAATGCATACACGCTCCCTGTCCTAAAAGATTATGTTCTTTCCTTCTTCCACTTTTTTTTTACTTAACATTGTCCGTCTGTTTCTGGGTTACCAGACCTGACAGACTTACAAACTGACACTGCGACACAAGAGTCCTATGGACCGATCTGACATGCAACCATGACTTGACTTGTTAGCACTTCTCTACGTAGAAGTTCTCAACCTCTATGGTACTTTTCAACCCAAACCATTATAGTATAGGTTTTAGAAGATTGCATAACAATTGACCGGTGTATTGCGGTAATGAATTTGGGTGGGTTCTTGCGTTTTTTTTTGAGGGCTCCTGGTGTTTTCGGGACGGATGGCGTATCTGGTACATTAAAAAACAACTAATAGCCTCAAACTCGCTTGTCGTTTTAGAGGGCTGGACTGCCTTTTTAGGGAATGGGCGGTCATAATCTATGCTGGTTTTGCGTGGTGCCATCTTGAAATTCGGAATGATGACAGTCTTAGCATGTTACGGGACTTTCAGGCTCTTGTAGTAACACGCTGTTTAGGAATGTGATAATGAAAAGAAAAAACAAATGAACTGTCACCTGGAAGACAGATAAATCAAACATATGTCATTGTACTGAAGAAGATCACCTCTGCGATTGGAATGTATATCACACTAAAGAAGATCTGTCAATACATGTAAACTAAAGGATAAGTCTCAGATGTTACATAGTCTATTTAACTCCTTGTATAGGGTGGTAGGTCACAGACAGCGAGGGTATCAGTTTTAGTATTTTTTTTGTTATGAGACATGTGTTGTCAAATTGCAGATTAGGTATGTTGTCAGCAAGTTGTCAGCTAGCAGGTTGGGGGCGGAGCTAATTTATAAAAAAAATATCACTTGTAATAAAGACGATGTCACTTAGGCCATTGCCTTCCAATTTTTAAATCAATGCTAAAACGATGAACATATTTTCATATTTCGTATGTTGTTACTTGTTAGTGTAATAATTTTTTCTTTTGTTGCAGGGTTTGGCCAGCAGTTTAATAGTAAAAAGTGATTAGTTACTAATTTAGGTTTTTTAAAACTTTTAATAACAAAGAATAAACTGTGACCAGTTAATATTTGTGTATATGTTGAATTTGTCTATTTTCATTGTTATAAGTTATGTTAGATATGTTCAAAAATGTCCCCCTGTATAAAATATTGGTCTTACATAGATCTCAGACATAAGTAAAATTTTCTTCTTCCTCTGAACGATTTGTACAGACTTCTTTATGAGGACATGGTGATCCCAAAGTAGCTAAATTCAAACCACTAGTTGCACCTAGCGGTCTTAGGGTATTAAAGCTCAGACATGAAGACTAAAGAGGGTAAACTCATAGCGTGGGGTGGAGCCAAAAGTGTCAAGAATGATATTTCGTCAAAAGTACATTTCAGATTCTGCGCACGTGACATAGCTCTCATGTCTGCATCCTTCTCCCTTTCTCTCAGTTTAACCTTATGTATCTAGTCTTCATGGATTCAAAATAATACCTGAGATAGCAAATTAAATAATATGAAAATTGTTTTTCCTTACAGGTTTACTTAAATTGTTCAAAGGTGTAGGCGTATTCAGTATTCAATACACGATATTGTGCAAAAATTATATTATTTTATGTTGTTGAAATTGGTACATAAAATGTAATCATGAATTGAGGATTACCGTATGCAGGGTGATAAAAAAATACAGTCACATATAGTATGTTTAAGGCCTTACCTTTATCCACTGCGCGGATGTAGTTTTTTCTAATGTTATAATTTCAACTACCTGTATTTCGACAAGGGAGCATTTCGGAGCCAAGTTTTGTAAAAACCCTTCGTGTCATTTTTGGACGTACCATCTGCCACTGTTTCTTAATCACCTTGTATATATGTTGTAAATATATTATGAAGATGAGAAAGGAAATTTTATTGAAACTCTTGGTGGAAAAATGGTGCAATATACATCACTCATGCTTTCATATTTTAGATTTTGTGTTATTTCGCAAAATAGTAAGGTGGTCATCAATATTGATCACAAAGTTCTTAGAACACTAAAGGATGAATGAATAAATGTTTTTTTACAAGAGAGCTTTGACACTGCACATACCTCATTGCGACCAGCCATTTTAGATACAACAACATCTTTCTGAAACTAAAACCAGGAATCTACTTGATACTTGGATACCTACTAAAGAATTGTTGAATGTTCCGTTACAGAAGGTTAATTAATGTTTCCTTATACTGCGTTGTATATTCTACTTCACTTTTCAAAATGTTTCATACACCTTGTGGAAATAATATGTGATTCATTTTTTGAATTGGAAAGAAAATCTTTATATCCTACAGAGGATACAAGTTAAACATATATGTATAGGATATCAGAGAAAATATTTAGGATATAAAAATTAGATTCGAAAAATACTATACATCTCAGAAAACATTATTAAAAATACATTTTTTCAGAATTGATGTTCTGAAGTTTTTTGACATATCTGAGAAACAAATTATTTCTTTAAAATTGCTCTTCGAAAATATGTAACCAGAATAGTTATCTGAAATGGCTGACATAACCAACCTTACTATTTCAACAATGTGATGATTTTATAAAAGTATTCCAATCCGGCTTGTACCTAGTTTTATTGAGACTCTATGTCGATAACGATACAAATCTGAAAAGTGGACATTCCATTACCTGAAGGTAGGTTTATCTTAACAATCTTATTTTTTCGATAGATATACTTATGAGTTTAAGCCCACCTTTTTTACAAGTTTCCATTTAACTTGACCTATTTTCTTGTATGTCAGTATGTATGTATGTTAGTATGTGTGGGACAAATCTTGAAACTGAAATTTGAATCAGTTATCCTTAACCAATTGAGCTGAAATTTTGTACATAACGTTGTTTGGATTGTGTGACATTACAAAATTAATCAACTGCGCAATTTTTAATCCAATGTAGCGGATGCTACAAAATGGCGATTCATAATTTTCATATGATATAGATATCAAACGAAAGAGCTTGATGAGAGATAGACAACAAGCAAAGGGACGTCATTCTAAATCCAATCTGGCGGCCGCCTCGTAATGGCGGTTTACATATTTTAAAGTCACCCCAACGACACGGGTATCAAATATCGTTATTTTAAATTCCATATGGCGGTCGTGACAAAATAACGATTTATCATCATAATATTATATCTGTCGAAATTTTACGATAAAAATTAAGTGAGAACTTTTATGCAGTCCTAGTAATAAAACAAATGAAAGTTATATAGAAATTACCAAACTAGTTATTTGACATAAATAGTGAAAAAGGTAAAAAATAAGTCAGATAAAAAATAGATTCCAAAAAACAAGCTTTTATTTATAAAATGAAGTAAAAATTCAAAAATATTTTTTTCTGATTGAAAATATTTAAACGATAATGAAGCTGTTTCATCTGAAGTTTTCAAATATAAGCATGTTACGTTTTGACAGCAGGTTATGGAAAACGGCGTCAAGTAGGTTGACTCTGCACTGCCCACGCGACGCTGTCAGCAGTTCATGATCTTAGTAGAAACAAGTATAACAATTTCTTTTATTTTATATATTTAACGGCAGACAATATCCTGAAACTGATTATAACCCTAAGAACATAGAAAAAGTAACTACAGTTTCTGTCTAGAGGGTACAAGGCATTTCAAGCAAAAGATTAATTCAAATTTGATGCTGGCTTTGAGAGAAAATATAATGCTGAATAGTTTTTTAACCCACATGGTCTCGAGGTGTTTCAACCTTCCTGAAAATAATACTAGACCAAAGCGATTGTCTGTATTTTGCATCTGTAATGATGTAATAGGGATAATATAACTTGAGATACAGGCTTATCGTATCAATGTTAAGATAATCCTACCTTTCAGTGATTTTTCTGTTGCATTCCAATAAGTGGCTGTTTTATTTTTATAACACCAATATATTTAATTGAATATTGGCTTCAGAACGACTTCTCAAGAAATAAAACATACTTTAGAAAGATTTTATAGTTGAGTATTCAATTTTTATAGTCACTTTTATATTTAGTTAGATGTATTTAATTGCTTTAAAGGCTATAAAAATGCACGTGGTACAATAGAAAATAAAAAATATTACGTAAGATTTTTCTTGAATGATTGTGGTCATATTCGTTGAGAAAACACCATTCTATAGAAGCGTATGGTCTGTCTAAATTTTAATCATTTCCTGAAAAGCTTTCATAAAAATATGAGATACACGACCGTAAAGCAATATCTCAATGATCCATGTATGAAGGGATCATGAGTTATAATCGGGCTTTTCGACACTGAGAATAATTTGAATGTCAAGTTGATCGCATTTAAACAATTGCGTTTAAATATTTTTGAACATATGATTTGGTCTTTTATCAACATTTTTCATTTTGTTTTAGTGCTTGATTACTTTTTAAAAGAATAAAGTTCGCAATTTTAGCATTTTTTTCTATGAATCGCCATTTCCGAATATTTAACATAAGTATTTTTATATGATCCTATGGCCGCAATACATATCTCTTCAAATCTATAACAAAAAACATTCAGTTACAGAACATATATAAATATGAATTCTAATGAGACTTCAACCTTTGTTTTTAATGTGAGTATACTGGAGCAACGCTTTTATTTTTATATAATTTGTTCTGTATGTTAGTGTTCATAAACGCTTATCTTTCTGCAGAGAGCTACTATGGAAACATGTTTCTATTTTATCCCTACTGACGGCACTACTAAATGTGGTAACTTCTCACAACATTTAGGTGTTTAGGGGAAAGTATTTTAAAACACGTACATTTATAGCCTACCTCCTTTTGAGTACTGTTTTGATCGTCGCCATGTTTCATATATTTTTATGGAAGTACTGAAGCCAGTATTCTTGTAATAATCCATACCCATATCTTTGGTGAACCACTGGTGAAAGGAGGGAATGTTTTTTGTACATAAAGAGCTTTTAAGTTTGCCACGTTGGCAGCAGAGCGCTTAGTGATTCCTGTATTATATTACTATAAATAAAGATAAATAGTTGTGGATTGTCAGGTGTGAGCGTGCGAGACAGACAGATATGATGTACCTTATGTAAAGTAGCTCTAATAGATGAAGATGCTGTCTTAAATTGTAGAATGAGAGTTATTATTACTTGAAAATATATTTCTAAATGTGTAAAATATATACAGATAACAAACCTTTTCTGTGCATTTTTATTTGCCGCCCTTTGATCTATGATCTACTTGATAATTTCATAATCTACTTGACAATAAAATTACTTGAAAGGTTAATGCTTGACTCGACTTTTTTATTATTCTACTTGACTTGAGGTGAAACATTTTCTACTAAAGACCTCCAGTGATATTTATTTGTACAACTGATCAGCCATATTTTGTCATCTCAAATGGTGCACGCTAACAGCTTTGCCAAACCAAAAAAACTCGAAATCGGTACATAGCGTCGTCGAAACTCGCTGGATATAAGGACAAAATCGGTGGCCAATCAAGTCCTCGGGACTATGAAAAGTATATTTTCGTATAGCGCGAGCTTACAAAAATTAAGACTCCAAGGAAAAAATATCATTAATTTAATTATGGAATAAGTCCTAAATGACTTGCGTGAGTTGAACAAAACAAAGTAAAATAATTTGACATCTTTCTTTCGAAACGCACAACTTAAGACTCAGAGTTAAAAATAATAAGCTTTTTCAAAAATGTGGTAAACGGTAGAATTTATCGAACCGGTTCGTTAAATTGTACTCTACCAAATAAGATTTTCGTTGTTAGTGGAACAGGTGTGTGAATCAAAACATCGTGATAATTTAAACGTTTTAATTATACAACTTACGATACACGGATCGCAAATACGGAACAAAGGTGAAACAAAATTCTACACTTACAAAATAACTCAACATATACGTACAAATGAAAAAAGTCATTTATTGATCTCATTACATAGGAGTCTCCGATTTTAAACATATTGATAAAATTGAAAATTATCCTTATGACTAACTGAGAATATTTGTTTAGGCAGTAAGTCCAATTTTTTTCGTTTTTGTATGGTTTTATTGCTAATGTTTTCAGCGCTCCATTTTCTATACACGATTTGGCACCAGGAGGCATCAAACAAGCTAAACAGATGGCGTAAGAAAATCTGTTCAGGAAATTTGAGGTGGTACAACATAAAGACCTGCAAAACATACCCGACTTCCCCCTATACATCTTATATAACAGCCACAACAAATAATCATAATGCTAAGGGAGTGTGGTTCAAAATCCGATCAGTTGTCACTTCCATTATTTTTAATTTACCACTATGATAAATCCGTTAGGACCCTCATGTGTCTTCACTCGTGGTTAGCGGGAATAAGGCTAATTTAGAATTGTTTTTCCTTCTATTTGAGTTTACAGTTTTATAAACAAGTTATTTTGTTTAATATCTATGGTTTTATATTACAAAAATTTTCAAGTAATATCAAGACTACTTGAATTTACAAGCGCTTGACAGACAGTAGTAAAAACTAGCTGAAATAATTTTTTGTGCGACACAATAATTGAAAAAAAGTATCAGAATATATATAGTGGAAATTTAAAAACGTGTTCATCGCGTCGAGCGTCGCCATCGTAGTCACTTGCTGTCATTTGTATGAGTAACTATGGTTTCTTATAGACACGCTTTTGTTCTCTTTATAACATACTATAGTCTGATACCAAAATTGATGACAGTACCGAAACTAATAGTATGCCACTGCTATTATGCGGAGGCCTTCGAAAATGCGAAAATTTTATATTTTCACCCTCAAAATAACTTCCCTCCGAAGCCACACAGCGCTGAAGACGATTCTTCCACTACTCATAGCAGAGCTGGTCGGATACAGTCATTTGAAGAAAGTCACAAAGACTCAAGTCAAGTGAATGAGGAGGCTGCAGAGCCTCAGGAATGTTCTTACTTGCCAAAAACTCGTTTATTGACATTGATGTGTGACAAGAAGCATTAACGTGATGCAACACCCACTTGTTCTTGATTTGATGAATAGTTATATGAGTCTCATTAAACTCTTTCCGGACTATTCTGACTGTCAACCGACGATCTGAACGCACAACATCCCGGACTCTGTAGGTAGGTCTTTTATCGGTTCTTGAAGACGAAGGCCTTCCGCTTCGTGGTTCATCTTCAATCGACTCTTTCCCCTCGGAAAATGCTTAAACCACCGAAAAACCTGAGCTCTTGACAAAACACTCCGTAGGCCTGTTTAGCAAGAGTTTCCGTTGCACTCTGTCCAAGTCTGAAGTAAAACCTGATAGCACACCGTTACTGGAAATTGAAGTAAGGCATTTTTAGAACACGATAGAAAAAACTGAAAAATGACTTGAGAGAGTTCAAACTTGTACTGAAGATGGATCACATGTTCCCCTATTTCTTCCCAAAGCCCAGCGCCACCAGTGTAAGGCCAGATAGAACGCTACGATGCCAGTCTCATCACTTAATCTACAGACCTCGTATACTAAGGAAATTAAAGTCATTGGTAATAAAAATATATAGTTCCCTTCTCCAAGCGAGTTGCTGGATTCTAGTGACTCAGTGGCGAAAAGCTGATGACACAGAACGCTTTTATAATTTCATATTATAATCGACAACGCTGTATGGTGGCGTCAGTCGACTCGTTTCCAGTGCTACCCAAACTATTGGTATAGTTACCATACTCTATCAAATGAAGCAAAAGTAAGTAAATACAAAGTTTCAATCTAGCTAAGCAATCTTTTGATTAATCATCAACAAGTCTTAACGATCCAGGAGTTGTTGCACATATGGAGGTGTATACGTAGTATAATAGAACGAGGTCCGTATTTATAGTGTTAATAAATTAGGAAGTGCAATTGCCGCTTAAGTGGCTCCATAAAGACACCGCTATTTCACAAGCACCCGCTAGATCAGAGGCGACCATGGGCGTTCTATGAAGTGGTTTAGGTTACTGTCATTTTTAGACAGTACTGGGTCGGTCTATGATCCCGAGGAAATACTGAAAGAGGGTTTTTGGATATCCTATTCTTAGTTTCGTACCGTTCATAGGCTAGGACGTTTCCATCTCCATTGGTAAAATAAAAGCTGGATCGAAATATTAGAGTAGTGTTTAAGATACCATCTAACACTTACATGGCTATAGCTTCTAAAAAAACTTCGTTTAATCTTCAAGTTTACTCTCAATACTCATGCGAAATCGCATCTGCCTGTGGAGATGCATACTGAAGGACTATAAGAAATCTAACGAAATGAACACTTATTGTATAATATCTGACAAAAAAAAAATAATAGTAATAAGTCTTAAACAACAATGCAATCACGTGTTAACACTAAGTGGACTGAAATTATACTAAAATTTCAAAATGATATTAATTAATACTGGCCACTATAAAATTTGGTTACTGGTTACTACGAGGATGTCTTTTAATTTTTGCATATAGAAATAAGACAACACGGTAGGTAGTTTTAAATGACTGCATTGTTTTTCGATGTATTCTACACGAAGATTAATCCACATCTGCATGCGCACGAACCAATTTTCGAAGCACTTATTCCACTCGTTTTCTGGCAGATCCAAAACGGCATTTTTGAATGCGTCAACTGCTTCTTCTGGTGACTGAAACCTTCGACCACGCAGTCTGTTTTTAATTTTCGGGGAAAGTAAAGAAATCGTTAGGACTTAGATCGGGACTATATGGAGGATGGTCCAATAATTCCACGTTTTCTTCCGTTAAATACTGCCTTGTTTTTTGGGCTGTGTGCGAGCTTGCATTGTTTTGGTGGAGGATGATTCTTCTTTCGGGGTTGATTTTTCGAAGCTCGTTGATGACTTTTGGCAAAAAAATGGTTGTATATCAATCCCCAGTAACAGTTCTTTGCTCATTAAGAGGAATTGTTGCAATATGAAATATGACTCGCTTTTGACACAAATGTCGCGACCATCTTTTTCGAAACACTTCGAGAACGCACCCAACCTGGGATCGTCGCTAAGACTCACCCGTCCATGTTTGAATTCTCCATACCAACGGGAAATTGTCGACTGATGTGACGTTTCGTTGCCAAAAACATACAGTAACTCAGCAAGGCATTCTTGTTGCGATAATTGTCTGTTAAAGTTGTAATAAATTATGGCGCGAAAATGTTCCCGGTTGAGTTCCATTTTTCTAATAACTTGGTGACACTTAAAAATTCACTGTAGTGAGAACACTGCACCTATTGTTATGAAACTTTGAATTTAAGTTTACTAAAGAGTGAGGTTAAGATTCAGTACTGACGTTCGATCCGCGCGGCCCACTATGTTTCTATATGCAAAACTTAAAAGACATCCCTCGTATAAAATTTGCTTGATATATTTTTTCTACTTATATACCTATATTATAAACTTCAATCTCTATTCTAAAAAAGTTTGTTCAGATTTCTATTTAGCAAATATTACTTACATTGTATTTTGAAACTTGAAAGAGAAAGATTAAGGAACTGGTTGGGAAGTGAATTAAATTGTTTGTATGAGAATGATCGTTGAAACAATGCACTACTATGAAGCGGCAAGGTTAATTTTTTTAAATATCTTACATTTATATCATGAACAGAATGTCGGAAAGTCAAGCGTTCTCTTATAGAATCAGGTGAGCCTGGAGTGTTTATAATTTTTAATAAAAAACTAGAGAAATGAAGAGTGCGACGCTCATTCATTTTAAGCCATTTAATTTCTTTATACAAATGAGATATATCATCAAATCTACGCGGACCATAAATAAACCTGAGGCACGCATTTTGCACCTTGAATCCGGCCCCTACTTGCCTGATCTAAGTAAAACTCATAGACAAAATCGCAATAATTGAAATTGGAAAGAATTAGGGATTCACACAATTTTTTTTAGTGATCTGTTTAGTATGTGTCTGTTATTATACAAAACTTTTAGAGAACAAAATGATTTTTGCATAAGATTTTTCAGGTGATCTTTAAATTTAAGCTGAGAATCTAAAACTATACCGAGATTTTTTGTACTTTTAACAAAATTCAATTTTGAATTATTAGCCATTATATTCAGATTATCTTTCAAAATCTCAGTCTCATTACATGCGATTATTCCGGATTAAGTTTTAAGTTGTGACCTAATGAGAGATTGTTCAAGGTGTTAATGTCCTCATATATACAATTTTCGTAATATTTGTAATCC